TTTAAGTTAAAGCAAAAATGTTTTAGAAAGAGGATTTAATGATGTTGTATAATGAGTCAAATAAGATCAGAGCATATAGTGAAAGTAAGGAGGAAACTTCCAGTCTGTAACAGATAAACAAACCTGCGTTTAGTGTCCATTGTTCTTGGATGAGTACAGAGAAATGCGGAGGATGAAAGAAAGCCAACATTGTGACTCTGGAAAGAGGAAATAAGATCTGAAGAAAGCTGATTCCATTGTGTGCCCTTGTGTGAGTAAGTATAAAGTCAACATTTATACTGTGCACATATTGTTTGAGTTAACACAAATTAATGAAAGTTTTTCTTTCTTTTTACAGTGCCTTTCAAAAAAAGTTCCTCAAACATCAACAACTATGCTCTTCTGGAAATTCACAGTATGCTTAAAACCAAATGTGCACGTCAAGGTTCTAAACATAAATTAAGGTTTTGAAAAATAGCCCTATTATTCTTTTGTTTTTTTTCCTTTCCCGTAGTGTGTTATATAGGTTTGTGTGCATGTAAATGGTCTCCCACACTGTTTAACACTCTATTAGCTAGCCCTCTAACACATACGTGATAGGCTAAGAGGTGGGATGGGTGGCGCAGTGGTCTGTGCTTTTGATCATCAGATCAAGGGGGCGTTGGGGAACTCCAGTTCGAAACCCGCTCCCGCCCCGCTTCGTCAGGCCGCTGTGTCCTTGGGCAAGACACTTCACCAAAATTTGCTCCTGTGGGTATTGTCCACAGTAGAGGACCATTACATGTATTTATGATCTGTGTTTGTAAAGCGCTTTGAGAGTCATTGATAAAGCGCTATAATAAATATAAGGATTATTATTATTATTTTATTATTATCTCTAATTGGTTGATCAATCACAACAGAGCCGGCCAGCTAACCAATCAGAACAGGTTGGGCTCTGGTTTCAGACAGAGGGTGAAAAGAGGTGCTGCAGCACAGGCAGTATGAGAACAATAAAGAGCTTTTTGAACATTAAAGCATGGAGACATGTCCCAGAGACTCTAAATGCTGATATGAACTGAAAATTTGCTTAATACGGCTCCTTTAATGTTAATGGCTTCCATTTAACAATCCCAATTATTAATCCTTCTTATTTAACAAAATCAATAAAAACCCAAACTCCATTTTTTTATCCATACATATTTGTGTTGAGTCAGATTTAATGTACTTTTGAATTCAAAAGTAAATGCTAATAATCTCTCAAACACGGCTGTAACATTTTCAACCAAAGCACAGCACAAATGAACGCTGAATCTGCCAACACAGACTTAACGACTGTAACTACTTGCAAACTAAAAAAGAAGACAGTGTCAGATATCATTGTTTGGTTATCAACACCATTCATTTCCTGCAACTTTTACAGATGACCACAGTCCCATATTTATGTCAGTGAAGGTGTACACAAACACACAAGTCAACATAACGGCATTTACATTGTCCACACTGCAACAACCCATTTGCCTCTGTTGTGAACACATGAAATGCTAATGGAAGAGTTTGTACAAGTACTTTGGCTTCACCTGCTGACAAGTTTAATAGAGGTCAAGCTTTTTCTCGTCCAATTCATTATTTCAGAAATGGATTTCGTCCATGTCTCTTCAAAGCATTTTGATTTGAAACACCTCAGCCAAAATGCAAGAGGGTTTTCTTTAAAACCAAAATATTGATTTATATATAATTCTATCTATTTTAAAATGGTAATATTGAATAAATACACAGTGGGTGGGCGTAGTTTGGTGGAAGAAAAATAAGTTCCTATGAAAGTGATCACAATGAGGTCAATGATTTATCTTGAGTAACCAGGTTGTGATGTGAGACCTGATTGCTTTGAGCCCAACAGGCCGAATGCTATATAGTTCTATTATATTTGAAAGAAGGCGAACATCTCTCCGGCCAGATCTCAAACAATCGGCAACTCACATAAAGCAAGTGAGAAATACTCAGGTTAGAGTACATATTAACATTTATTTTTAATTTAAATTGGAACTGTCCCTTTAATTTAAGGATCTCCTTGAAAGAAGTCTTTCTCCCACAGCTACCATCAACCACCCTAACCTTGAAAGCGTTCATTCTCCACTGACAGACTAATCTATCATCCAATATCACTCAAATTAAATCACAACCACACTAAATACGCTAATAACAGTTTGCGGTTCGAACCCCTCCATGGACAATATTTGCTGGGACTGACCGATTTTGCAGAGCCAGCTGACCAGGACCCACAGGACCACGATGTACGGAGTGGAGACATGGTGCCACTTCCAGCTCACGATGGGTAGAGTAGTGATGGGCTCTCCTTCGTGTCCACTCTCTCCATGACTACTGTCCTCTTCTCCAGTCCCATGACTGGAGTCCGTCTGGTGCCCGGGGCTCGAGGTGGTCTCTTTATTGGCAAGGCTTCTGGACAACATCAGGACCATGCAGAGAAGAAGAGCAAATCGCCATGTAGCTCCCATGTTTGGGGAAAGTTGCAAAAATACTTACTGAAAAGGTTATTTAGACTATAGACACAGGTGCTATGGTCAACCTCAGTCTTTCATTCCTCTCCTGTGTATCCTCCTTCCCTCTCAGGTCACTTTTGTTCCGTCTTACATCCACATCCTTCTCTGACCTGAGCACTGTGGCCTCTCTGTGCTCTCCTCTGCTGAAGATACAGTTATACAGCAGGTGAGGCTCAGCCCATTCTGATGCTCCTCTGTCTCCTCCCACTCTGTACCCAGGTCAGCTAGTTTGGCCACATTACTCAATGGAAGATTTGATGCTCTTGTCCTTTCTCTATTGGCTGTGATTGCAGGTTTTCACCAATTTTACACTTTTTCTACAAAATGTATTGGAAAACACCATAACTTATGAAACTTTGTATTATGTGAATAGTCCTTTTTACAAACAACAAACTTGAAATCAAATTAATCAATAAATACATGACAAACCAAGTTTTGTTTTCTTAGTTTTGGCCATGATTTATATGTGTATGTGCCAGATTAAAAGGGACACCTCCATATTTTACACTTATATCTTAGTTTAAAAGGTCAACAGAACATTATTTGGCATCTTTGATTATTAAATGAATGGTTTAAGTATTTCTTACATAGAAAATGCCAAATATTGCCTTTCCAGTGCCTCAGTTGTGGGCATTTTACAATTGTCTTTGTTTTCTAATAGCAAACTGAATATCTTTGAGTTTCAAATTGTGACTTAGCGAAAACAAGTGTTTTCATACCACACCTTAAGCTTAAGGAATTTGGAATGGGCACTTTTCCATACTTTTTGACATTTTACAAAGCATTATTGATTAATCAATAATGAAAATGATGGTTACTTGCATGCCTTTAGTTATGGCTCAAGACTTTGTTATATACTTGGGGCGTATAGTCTCAAGGCAAACAAGTGAGAGAGCATGCAAAGACTCTTTTTGTTTCATTATAGCAAAGGTAGGATCAAGCATTATTAAAATCTCAGGGTCTGCACCTTTCTTATTAAAGATGTGACAATATGACACAGCATTCAGACTGGTTTTGTTTAGTTTACCTTTATTATCTAAATCAGTGGACCAAGGGGTCCCATGGTGTTTGGTAATTCATTGGCAAGTAATTATCCAAACTGTTTGGGTCACTTCCTGGTTCAAAGTGTACCTATCGGGTTCACTGTAACATTTAATGTACATCATTTTATTGTATATTTTCATACCTTTATTTCATTTTCTACTATTCTTTATTTATGTTTCTTTACTTCTGTATTTTTCTGATTTCTTCCTTTTACTATTTTTATGTTGTACACCAAAACAACAAAGCACATTTTGATTCTGTAATTTTACCACACATTTTCTTAAAGAAGACATATTCAACTTTATCATAACGGCATCTTCCTAGTTAATTTAAGTGAAATAAGATGACTTTATACTGCCTCCAGGTGGCTTCTCTCAGTACAACTGACCGTTATATCCCTCTTGTCTTACATAAATGTAGAAAGTACTAGATGAATCTAGGGCAGGAAAGCAGTTGGACCCGTTTGTCTCCCTTATTTCAAAGGAGCACCTGCTCCCAGTACAGTACATCCCCTCCTCTCGGCCACACTGCACATCAGTGACTGTGTTGAGCCTTTATTGCCACTATTCATGTATGTGTTTAGGTGACAGAGACTTGGAAATGAACCTTAGTTTCAGGGAGGTGCCGTTTCGTTTTCATAATCGTTAATCAAGGTTTTGCTCCTTTCATGGCACAGTCGCTTAAACTTATCAACCCTGAGCCTGTTTTTCAGGTCTCAGGCTCGAAAATGACATTCCCAGAACAAATGACCATATCTTCCCTTCTAAAAGGGTTAAATTAATAATCTTTGTTCTCAAAGTAATGATAAACCTGTGAGTTGGATGTAGAAAAGTCAGAATCAATATAGATGTTTTTATTTTAAAGAAAATTCAGATTAAACATAGTAAAAAACTGTAAATGATAGTGTCCGTCCAAAAATTATTTTGTACTAGTGAAAACTACCCTTTGATGATGGGTTAGTAGAGTAAAAGCTTTAGGAATCCAAAGTACAACATATAATAAGTACCCTGTATCATGATTGATGCAAAACAAGTGACATTTGACCTTTTTAGAGAGATTTAGCAAAAAAAAACACTTCTGGGGTCATTTGGGTGGATTTTCCATATCTCGCCAGAGATATGGAAAATCCACCCAAATGACCCCAGAAGTGTTTTTTTTTGCTAAATCTCTCTAAAAAGGTCAAATGTCACTTGTTTTGCATCAATCATGATACNGGGCAGTGCCCCCGTAACGCTGAATTTGAACCCCCCTGTGGCCCCCCTGAAAATGAAAAGTTTATTATTAAACTATTTCTTGGACCTACTAACTAACGTTATTTGTCATTCTAGTCGGACCCATTAGAGCGTAAAAACTGTAACTATAAGTATCTAAAATAAATATGTGTACCAATAACTGTATTGCATTGTTTTCTTATGCGCATTTACTTCATACTGTCTTTGTCTTTTTCGTCCTGCATTTATTGTGCCCCTCTCAGAAAATAACTGGCCCCAGCCTGGCCCCCCCAGTCAAATTGATCCTAGAACCGCCACTGATTGCTGTTGTTCTTCGATGGGTAGCTAGACACATTTTGGGCTTTCTCGATAATAGTTAGGTCAGATGATTGATACCACTTCCATTTGTTCTTTGAATTTGAACCTATAGCCTGCAGCCGGTAAGCTTAGCTTTGCACAATGTACTGAAAGAGTGGGAAACAGCTAGCTTAGCTCTGTTAAAAAGATTAAAAAAATACAACTACTAGCACCTCTGAAACTGTAAACAAGTATCTTGTTTTTTGAGTTCTCTGATCAAACTCAGTGTGTCTCCAATGCTGTTCAACGTCCGTCTGAAAAGGCTGCTAGCTAACTAGCATTGTTGCTTTGCCTTTTTCTCTGTTAAATTAAGATCATCTGATGACTAAAATCCTTTAACTGGTAACATATAGTTAAAAACGATCAAAAGTCAATTGATGAGAGAAAGGTGAGTGGTACTAATCTTGTCTGACTCTTAGCAACAAAGCTAAAGCATTCGGTCACAGTCAGACCAGTTAGCTGCTTCCAAGATAACCAGCTTATTGGCTCCATCCCTGTAAAAAATTACAAAGTAATAAATAAATACTACATAGTCATACATTTGCATATGCGGTCAGTAATAACCAGGGCCTAGAGAGCTCCACAATGGCAGCCAGAGAGTGTTACATCACCCGAAAGCCCACTCCAAATGTGAAGAATGACATTCTGATTCTCTATTGAATCCTCTCTTTTCTCTTTCAGGGCGGAGCCTGTTAAACAGACTCAGTTTGACTGAAGTGTAATAAAACTTCACATACAGTCCTGGAAGTGGTCACGAGGCACTGTGGGAAATCCTAAATGGGAAGAGTGGGAATAAATGTTTTAAACAGTATGTGACATTTTCAAATTCCCGTTGCCATGGTCTCTCCTGTCACCGAGTTCTTCCTCATCTTCCGGGTCCAGCTGCTCCTCTTTTTTCTTGATGTAGCGCTCATAGAGCACCATAATGACGCCCATCACCCAGGCCGACACGGTGCCAGCAGCAAAGATGACAAAGCCGATGACAACAAAGAAAAGGTAGTCCCAGGAGCCCAGGGTCTGGTGACATAACGTCCGTAGCTGGATGCCCACCTCACCAAGACGACGGCCCTGCATGTCAGCTGGTGAGCCACACACCGTCTGGCCCTCATCTGTCAAACAGAAACACATCAAGGAGGAATGATTAAGGAGTCATCATGGCTCAAAACAGTACATCAACATATTTGGTTTGGAAATACAATGCTTGTTCTGGAAAACATGAGACAAATTTGTATTTTTCTATAATGGCTTTACAATTGACATCATTTTAAGTCCACACACAACTGCACATTATTTTTTCGTCTATAAAGCATATAGGTTTTTTCTTCAGTATAGCATGACAACACGTGCTTAATTCATTTTCAAGCTCCTCAAGAGTTGGTTCAAAATAGTAACTATTTCTATAAATCTTTTAATATTCCGATGTATCTTTAAACAGTTTGTATGTTTTCCTCAATCTTCGTTCATATGAAAGTCCAGCGACAGGTGTCAATTCAGCTTGTTACATGCACACAATCTTGTGAGTCATGTATTGGCAACAAAACTACTTGGTTAGGTTTGGAAAAAGATCCAGGTCTGAGTTAAAGCATTTATAGAAGTGGCATTACTTTAGTACAGAAATCATGTGATAGAGGTCTCCAGGGTCAAAGTCCATCCAATAAACCAACCCATCCACCCCAACCTCCTAGCCTGAATAATTCGGACTAAATAAGCAACAGACAAAATCTAAGTGTGGGAATCCTTAGTTATATTTTGTTAAGAATATAATTCTCAAAAGCTATTCAATTCATTGAGTCTTTAATTGACAATGACGGCAACATAGCACAATTTGTTTTGCCCCGCCCATTTTTAACTAGTTAAACAAACAAAGAACAAATACACAAGTACATAATTCTTTCATGTGAAATACTGAGAACTGTTTAAATGTTGGAACAAATGCATTATTCGTAAAGGACCCCGTCACTCAGAGTAAGAAGATAAATATATTTTCAGGACCTTTAAAGTGCATTTATCAGCGTGCCAGTCCAGATTGAAAGTTTTAGCTGATAGGGAAGATGCCTGAGTAGAAGTACTGACCTAGAATAAATATTTTGTCTAAAGAACAATAATTATGAGAGAGGGGTCGATTTACAACCCAGTCTCACGGCATTTCGTGTTATAGTCACGACATTTAATCTATTGATTCGTGTTCACCGACACGATTTCCCCCTTTTTTTTGTGTCACACAGAACAATTTTAAAAGCAATGTATTTCTATTGGTAGTGTGTTTAGTGCCTGCACCACGTCTTTTTGTTCGGTCGGGTCTTGGAAGACCAGAAGCTGTGTGGTTCATAAAAACTATTAATACTACTCGAAATGTCCCTTATAGGCCTACGTCTGTTTCCGGTTATTTTTATTTTGAAATGTAGTTCCTGACGGACGGCAAAAAAGCCAGAGATTATAGAATTAAACAAATAAATAAAAACAGGATAATTTTGTGTTATTGTTGAGTAAATAACAGTGTGTTATTTAGAAAAGAATAACAAATTAGAAGGAAAAAAATATAAAAAAATACAGATTTCAGTATTCTGAGGCTCTGAGCCCCATTTATTTTCCTCACAGACGGAAACAAAAGTCCGAAATTATACGATTTAAAATAAAAGCAATAATTGTGGCTTGATATTGAGTAAGAACATGTTTTTATGAACCACACAGCTTCCGGTCTTCCAAGACCCGAACGGACAAAAAGACGTGGTGCAGGCACGAAACACACTACCAATAGAAATACATTGCTTTTAAAATCGTTCTGTGTGACACGAAAAAAAGGGGAAAATCGTCATGGTGAACACGAATCAATAGATTAAATGTCGTGACTATAACACAAAATGCCGTGAGACTGGGTTGTGATTTAATATGGAAGTATACTATACTTAAATTAAGTTTAATTCAGAGTACTTTTTAAACACAGGTTAACAAATTTCTATTATTATCATCTTTAATAATAAACAACGCCACTTCAAAAAAAAGAAGTATGGGAGAAGGGGATCTAGAGGTTTGGATTAAAATAAATCAATTAACATAATGAAACCTGTAAGGATTAGTTTATCGTTTGCCAAGCATATAGCATTCAGACAAGACCGTTATTTAGGTAACTGATGGGGAAAGGGGATCTTTAAAGCGGACACATTATAGACATTTTCAGATCTTATCATTTGTGTTTTTACTTGAACATGTTTCATGCTTTCCAAAGAAAAACACATTGAGGTAAAGCCGTCTGTCTGAATACACCAGTATCCACCCCATGTCTGAAAACAGTTCGTTTTGTATTTGTCTCTTTAAGACTGCCCTGTCTGCTCTGATTGGCTTGCTAGAAATATATGGCACACCTGTACAAAGGTGTTAAGGTATTTTTTAAGCTGTGGATGGAGATATTCAAATAAGCCTGAATGTGATAAAAGAAGGGGAGCCAAATCTGAATGGATTGTTGAATCACATGTGTTGAGAAAAAGCATCCGAAAGGAGACTGACTTGTCTGATTTCAGAGTGTGTTGGTACTAGGCACTCCGTATACCCAAAAGCATGTGCACAAGCACAGAGCTTTTTCAGGACATGTCCCCTTTATATTCAGTCAAGCTGAATACTCAAAATCCTTTTCAATCAGAAAAGTGAAGACAGCAAAGAAGTCTCAAGAGTGCCTAAAGAGTTTCCAGCTGTGAGTATCTGCTGAAATGAGGTCTGCATCAGGAAGTATCAGAATGACCTGCGGGAGCAGTTTCCCTCCTTTCTTAAGCCCTCTGAAAAGCACCTGATTGGCCGAGAGGAAATGCACCCAGCTGCTCTCAATTGTCAATCAGGAGCCAACAGGTGATCTGGTTCACCTCCAATCAACTCAGGGGAACTGATACATCCAGCTGTAATGAATTGGGAGAAGGGAAATACCAAAGCAATGCTAAATAATGAGGGAATGCCACAAGTCCTTTGCAACTGATTTCACATACAGAAAATATATACACAGTCTCGGCATACAATTATAATACAACTATTTAAATGATCCTTTGATGTGGTGAGAGCTCAACTTAGCAAGGAAAATATTATACATGGCATTAAGCGGAGAACCGTGTTAAATAATTCAAATATGACTTTAAATCGTTTTGAATAACATTAGGAAATGGCAGGGAACTGAGATGATAACAGTGGCTGCCAGAGTTAAAAATCAGCAATGTGTACTAGCATAACAACGCTGCCTTCATTATCGGAATAGTACAGCTTTAGGAGCTTCATGTGAACAACACTCTTGAGTTATGCAGCATTGAATTACAAAAAAAGAAAATCATGGATGAATTATTCAAACTTCTTTTCTCCCCCACAGGATTAGAGAGTGACTTTGTGTGTGCCTGAAACCGCAGATAATAAGGTTCCCCATCATCAGGCACACCGGGTACCACTATGACTAAGATGTGAAATCCAAAATCCCTAATGAAAATGTGGAGTTCCTTCTCTTTCAGAAAAAAGACAGTAGGTAGATTCCATTTTAAAAGGTCTATCAGTCAAACACACCACATGTATGTTGATTCTGGAGCAGCTGATGAGGGAAAAATAATCCTGAAGCCTGGCTGAGTCCTTTTTAACTGCGAACCAACAGAAACAGTGCAACACAACACAGTGTTGCACTGTTTTTAATTAGCTTCTGGTTTTTCAAAGCTTTTGTGCAAGAAGGAAGTCCCACCGGGGGACTTCAAAAGAAGTTTGTGCATAGGGAACAGTTTTTCTGTAACCATGTTTCTACCCCAACAGCCTTGAAATATGCATCCTGATTTTCATATTTTCCTAGGAGTGTTGGTCTGTGCATACACAGCAGACCAAATTTAAACCGTAACATTTGTAGAATCGCATTGAGGAGTTCTGCTTGACTCTCTGTCCTCTGCAAAATACATTGGGAAAATGTGTAGGTAACGGCATAACTTGGTCATTTTTACCAGCTAAAGTAACTATAATGAATGACCTTATATTGGTAGATTTTTCATATTTCATATGTGTCAATTTCAATGTTTTTAAACTGGTTGTAAATATCTGTATTGTTAGTGTTTAGGTCTGGTCAAATTAGCATACCTACTACTACCAATTGCAGTGACACTTTTTATCTTACTTTTTGCTAACTCTTATTACCATTCAGGTATCATTTACCAATTGCTTTTAGCCAAGTTGTTTTTATTTTGTAAAAAAAGAACAATCAAAGACCTTTGTTGTGGTTGTTAATAGGCTTTTTTTTTTTATAAAATCTGATTGTTGAAAACTCAGAACATGTGTGAGTCTTTCCACATGAAAGACCTCTACAACATTATACCAGCCGGTGTCTCAGATGGGCCCACTTTCGACCAGATCTTTGGGCTTTCCATCTGAGTTATTATTTATTTATTTGAACCATCACATTACTTTAAGCTAACTCACATGTTCATCCATTAATTCCATTGAATGTTTATCTTTTGCTTTTCGCTAACTGTTTCAGCCAGACCCTTCAGTATTTTAACCAGTATCGCTTCATTTACAATAGTTAAATTAACTGTTTATTCATTCATTTTGGCCAAAGACTGTTTAAAATATGGACGTAGTCTCCTTGATGTTACCCTAGGCTCCTGAACAGTGTGATGACAATTTCGGAAGCAATGGAGACAAAACTCAGAGAGACAAAGGGAGAGCTGGAACTTTGATGGCAAGCACTGATGTTTTATTTGGAGTTGTGGCTGGAGAATAGACATGACACGAGGTGACAGCAGTCGCAAAACCAATTCTGAAGATCTCTTCTGCAGTTCGAGATTTTAACTAGTTCAGAGTGTAATAATCAACATTCCTCATCAGCGAGACTAAAGAAATATGGACCCTGAATCTAACTTGAGCTGTCGTACATATAACATAATGTGTGAACCTACGTTCCAGAAAAGAAGGGCCTCTAGATGTCCCTGAACAATAAACTACCTCATGGCAGCTTGTGCTCGGTCATAAACTGCAACAACAATGCGCTCAAGCTGCCCCTCCTTGAGAGAGATAGCAGCAATACCCAAGGCCGTAGACCTATGCCATGGGAAAGGAGAAAATTATGAATTGTGTCAAAGGTTAAATACCTAACAAAATTATTCCCCAACAAATAGCCGTTGTGAATCTCAAAGTGTGTGGCTCTGGCAGTCGACAGCTTGAAAGTGCTGACTCCGCCTAAGTCTTGGCCAATCCAAAAGTTGGCAAAGAGGTCATACTTGCTGTTGGATCAACTCAACAGATCAACTCCAACTTCGTTGAAGCAGAGCTGACAATAGTGGCTAGTGATCGGTGGCGGCACGCACCTGTCACTTAAAGCATGCCACATATTAGAATGGTGCAGAAATGAGTCAGGAATCTCTGAAATGATTTAGCATTTTACCACTTCCAAGTCCCCTCGACTCAAAGTCAGATTATTTTTTTAATGAGATTACCATGTAGAATAAAAATGTGTAGGGATCCTAAAAATGTGTTTGCAACAGATCTTATGTTATGCAATATTCCAAAATCCCATTGCTTTGTGTCGAAGAAGCCCTTGCGATGCTAACTTAGTTAGCAAAAGTTAGCAAATATATATAACAAAATCTATAATTTAGGACTTGATATCAATTAAACGGGTTATTTGTTAAAAAATGTACCTCTGTATAAGACCATGACCAATTTCCTAACAGGCTGTAAACATGTTTATCTTAATTGTTTATCCTATTTTAGCTGTCTATTTAAACATTCACATTTTAGATAACCATGTCCCACTTCCGCCAGCTTGCTAAATATTTTCCATGCGCTCTCAGTAGCAACACGTGGCGTCAAGGTGTTATGAATGACTCATTCTGGTGGGAGTTGTGTTCTGACAGAGGGCGACAGGGATCACTCCGTAGCTATCAATCAAATCACTCTTAAGTTAATTTCATGGGACGTCAGAAATGTATTTATCCTGATATTTTATTCATTCGGTGCATATATCTGCGCTCTTATCCTCAGACAAGCTCTTCTGCGGCTCACGTGTGAAAGCGAGTGCGCAGCTGAAGAAGAACACGAGTATAGTCAGCCTCTCTAAGCTCTATCTAGAAAATTCAAAGCATACTCTGATCCTCTCAAAAGCTGCTGCTGTGCACTGTCCACACAATATGCTGTTGGATATAACAAAAACACACAAATGCACACTTCCTCTAAGCATACAGTAAAGCCTACACATTCAAAAAAAACTCCACAAGACTTAGCTTCTATGTATGTCCTTGCACAATCTACTAATATGTGAGTGTCAATATGTGTGTGTGTGCCTGACAGATAGGAAGGAAACCCTTCTGGCTTCACCCCCCTCCCTCCCTCCCTCCCCACCCCGAAAGGGACCGGCATCAAAGAAGAGGGCTTTCCCCTCCCGTCCTTCCCCCATTCACGCTCTGCTCTATTTCTAGACGCTCTCCTTATATAACAGCTGAAAGAGTGTTCTTCTAGCCAGGAAGGCGAGACAGAGGAGAATCTGATGGTTCCTTCCTGAAGCTTTCTTTCGCTCTCACTTTCGCTCAGTCGCCTGCTATCTTGTGTTTCCCCTAAACCAAGTCGACAAGAGAGCGGTGTTGCGTGAGCCAGGTGAGAGCCAGAAGAGCGTAAATAAGGCTTCCGAGACATAGCTCGAAGCCGAAACCCAGCAAAGTATCCTCCTTCTGTTTCCACCCCTCAAGCAATACAAGTGGGCTTCATCTGGGTCTACATGTATGACTAAGTGAATGTCTTTTGTGGTTTTCCCCAATTTCTCTTGATTTTAAGAGAGTGAGGTAGAGGAGATGGACAGCCTGTGTGTAGCTACATCACAGAGGTGAAGAATGTGTGAGTATCTATGCGTACGCCTTCTCCTGGCTGGCAGCTGTCACTGGAAGAGGCTCCACTCCAAATTAAGCGAGACAAAAGGCACCAAGCAAGAGAAAATAGGACAGCTCTTGCTGGACTCGTTTTGGCCTGAGCTGCACAGGGACCAATGCGGAACCACAGTGTGTGTGTGTTTGTGAGGAGGGGGGGGGGAGGGGGGGAAGCAGCGGATTCCTTTTTTTAGTAAGCCGTGGCAGATGTATTATATCCACAGGTGTGTTAGAATTGTGGACTCTTGCTCAGTAAGATGGCAATATCAATAGCATGGCCTCTTGCATATGCCCACATCCCGCACAGAATATTCACCCTATATTCCGGGACAATAATAAAACAAAAGGGGGGATCAATATTTGATGGTGCACAATGATTCATTTAATCACACCTTCTGCACGCGTATTCCAATAGGCTGGAACCAAAACAGAGATTGATGAATCCATTATGAGATAATGGACCGCAGGAGAAATGGGCTCCCTGGACTTCTGATCCCTTCTTTTCACCCTCTTTGGCTATTTGAGTCTGAATGCCGTCACGCTCCACCGTCGTCACCTGGCATTCTCGTATCGGCTGCAAAACCTGGAGAACTTTGCAGACTTCCTCCAAACTGCGAGCGATTACCATATGTGACCATTTTTTCACGCCCACCCTGCTTCTCCAGCAGCGTACATAGTGGAAATGAGAAAGCTGATGGGCATGGTGTTATCTGTTGGCTCAAAGGTGCAGACGTGTGTTTTTTAAAGAAAACATGATGTGAGCGGAATTTAGAATTTAGGGTTTACGGTTTTGGCTTGGTAAAAAAAAAAAAACGGAAGAGGGAGACTTTAAATGCCATTTTGTTAAGAACCTTTAAAGATGCCCTACTATGCTTTTGGGGTTTTCCCTTTCCCATAGCATAGTGGCTTAAGTTTTGTGTGCCTGTAAATGGTCTGCAAAGGCTCCAATCCAATAGTTCCCTTCAAAGGGAGTTTCTCTCCCACTCACTCCCCCCTGCCTGAAACAACTCCAAATCGGACTCCTTTGTTTACCTCTGTAACATTCCGTTGACCATCAGTAAGCATTTGCAATTCCGTAGCGCTCCATGTATGTGATAGCTAATCATTGATAACCAATCAGACGCAGACTGGGCTCTGGTTTCAGACAGAGGGTGAAAAAGGTGCTGCAGCACATGAAGAGAAATAACCGAGCTTTTTTGGAATATTAAAAGCATGGAGAGAGACATGTCACAGTAAAGCATCAGAATACCAAATATAAACCTGGAAATGAGCACAATAGGTGCCCCATTGATAAGTATTTTCATTTTTTCAGGCAATATCTTTTAAAACCATTTATTTTCCTTCATTTGTGCTTTAATTATAATGTTTTTTAGCTATACCGTCCACTGTTGGAACAAACTGCAAAATAATCAAGATATTGCACTGACTGTGCCAGTATATTAAAAAACCTTGCTTGCTTTTATGTCCCTGACTGAAATGTCACTCTGTTTTGATGTTTTGCACTGAAATTGCATTGAACTTAAAAACACCAAACGTTTTAATTCAAACTCTTATATTCCACCCTATCTATGTATTTTAAAGATTTATTTGGAAAAATAACATTAACGTACGCTTATTTCTGATATGTGTACTTTTCAAGCGTCATTTATGTAAGGCGGCCTGTTTACGGAAATGAGCATTACATTTGCCTGGGCTATGTTTACTCGTACCACCTTCTCAATAAGGCACCCTCCAAGGGTATACACTTTCATTAAATGTTTCATACAAAAAAACAATTCAATCATTATACCATTTTCAAGGTTAAGGATGTGATATGTACGCTGATTCAGGGCCTGTATTAAAAACTCCCTGTGTCAAAATAGTTTAAGGGGTCTTTATCATTTCTGTGTTGCTGTTTGTTGGATATTTGCAATTAAAAGGATTAAACCAAATTTACTGCATTAGTTCATAGGGTCAACAGCTTAATCCAGCAATGAAGGAGTATTTTTCATAATCTGCCAAACCCAAAAAACAACATAAATTAAACCTACAAACACTATATTTTATAAGATTTCCAACTATTAAGCGCTGCCATTTCTTTGATGATAGAGTTATGTGATAGGCTAATTCACTTTCTCCCCTTTCATGGGATAGCCTCCAGGCTGAATATCGAGGTTACATCCACTAAGGCCAATAGTTTACATAAAAGAGCATTATCTAATAATTAATAAACTGGGGCAGCAGTTATGGGTGTGATTGGTCTCTGGGGCTTTTTCAACTTTGATACTAATTGTAAAAGCAACAGTCCAAAGGTCATTGTTGTGATTATGTCACCTCACATGACATTAGAATAAAAGAGTCAAGGTAAACCTTGGAACTTTGAAGTCCCTCCAGGTGCCACCCACAAGGCCACAGGTCCTCGTTCTCGCACTCGCAGTCCACGGGGTTCCCGCTGAGCCCCACCGGAAACGCAGGGGCAGCGCGGATCCAGGGAGGTGATGTTCCCACCGTCAGGGTTGTTGCGACTCACATCAGCACCTGCCAGGGCGGCCGTTATCCACAAAGGCGTCCTTGGTGGATCTCCGAGAGCGCCGGGTTGTCGGTCATCCTTCAGCATCACCAGGGCTCGCCAAGGGCCGAACGTCCTGTCCTCGATCCGCACCAAGTGTTGAAGGAGAGATCCAGGTAGGGCTAGCGTTCCGTAGATTTCCTAAACGTGGACTCGGAGATCTCCGTGAGGGAGTTGTTGCTACATCCAGGGTACACCAGATCCGAGGAGGTAGTTGGAGCGCGAGCGGCGGGAAGCTCCACGATTACGGTTTGTTGGATGATGATAGCTGGCCGCGTGTGAACAGAGGCAAGTTGACAGGAAGTGGTCACGGTGCTGCCCTGCGCATTGATACCAACCAGTGGTCATCGTCACACGGCACCTGTCCGGGCAGCGGGTGAGCAACCGGGGGATGTGATCC